TTGAAGCAGCAAGGAAAATGTGCAAAGTTTACTTTAGACTTCTGTTTTGAGTCTATAGGCTATAGTGTAGTCACCCCCAGTGGCCAGCCTGTGTCGGTGTGCCTGTGTTACTCTGCAATTTATTGCTTTCCTCTGCAAAGTATTTAACTTAACTGATTCCTCAGTTACTCAATAGAAAAATCAATAGACTGTTCAATTACTCAAGTAATTGACTGCTACAGAAGCTCGAGGGATAAGGTGACCTATGAAGATAACTAAAGCCATCTTGAATGATTTGATGGTGGTTGAAGAGCTAGCTGTTATATAAACACTCAAAAAAGGGGAATTAATTGTTGGAATTTTTGTTAAAGAAAAGGACATAAAGGTTTGAAGTCAATGCTAAGCTATGCTAAAGTATTCTGACTCAAGCTGACGCGCTCTGATATTGTTGAAAGTTTTCCTTCAATATGAATCCCTCCATCTCTCTCTCTTTCAGAGGCAGGCGGTCGAGCTGATCCCCATCACTCAGGTGAACTACAAGTGGAAAGACAAGAACTACGTCTACTACGTGTACGGCAACGAGTGCAAAGTCAGTGCTGACGACTACCCAGAGACCTGCTGCTGCATCATCCTGTAGACCACAGGTGTCTGGTGTCCTGCAAGTTTTAGTGAGTCCTCGATCCAACACAGCTGATTTAAAGGCTAAATTACCTCCTCAACATGTGTTGAAGTTCTCCAGAGGCCTGGTAATAAACTAATCATTTGATTCAGGTGTGTTGACCCAGGGTGAGATCTAAAACCTGCAGGACACTGACCCTCGAGACCTGGAGTTCGACACCCCTGCTGTAGACTGACAAATACACACAGCTGAAAGCAATTAAACATGTACTCATTCTTCTCTTTTTTTAACATCAGTCTTCCTTTTTCCATATATCATGATTTCATTTATTAGGGCAAGAAAAGCAAACCATACCTGTGTTAAAAAAAAATAACAGTATCTAGTATTCTGTTCAACATTTTCTTAAAATAAAAAAATTAAATAAAATAAAAAAATAAAAACACTATACTGTGGAGGTATCAAAGGATGACACGAGAGATCCCAATATTTTACTCCAATTTTAATCTCGGCTTCTCACAACTGAACACTCGAGGTGCCAAAAACCTAACCCTCTCACTTCCGAGCCATCACACATTTCTTGACACAGTAGAGCCATTTGTGTATTGCAACCAGTTTAACACAGCGCTAGTTGTCTGTGCCTAAAAACTGCGTCATATTGAAAAATTTATTAAAACTCATGCTTGACAATTGACATGACTTTCTCAATGGATTCCTCTTTTTGGAAACCTGGGCTAAATTTGTGTGCATGTGTTTATCTCATTCCACTGCATAAATCTAGAGAAGGATATTTCTGGTCAAATTCAACATGCTCAATGGAATATAACATTACATAAAAATTAAAAATCATCTCTGATCGTTGACATGAAATTGTCAGTTGAATACTTCTCTGGGTTACCTTCTCTACATGTGTGCCAACTTTCATCACAAAATGCTGCAAGATTCCAGCGAACATTTCTACTCAAATTCAACAAGGTTATTTTAATCAACAACAAAAATTACAAAATAAAATCATTTTTGATAGTTGACAGGAAATTCCCTACAAATTCTTCTTCCCTGCAACTCACACTACATGTCTGCAAAGTTTCACCTCCAGCCACTGCAACTCTTCTTTTTTTTCCCCTTTATTGGGCAAAAAGGCAAAAACCACTTTCCTTGGTGGTGTTGATCCCCACCAATACTGGAAGTCTGGATTGGCTGTCTGATCCTATCAGTCAGTGCAGAGCTTAGATGAAGCCGATGTGTGAGGGGACTTGCCCAGTTGTAACTGCCTCAAAAGCCCAATAGGGCTACTTCCTCTGATACACACCAAAGTGTGAGTAGACTTGCAGGCCCAGCAGCTCCCCTGTAGCTCAGTGCACTTGGTAACTAATGGGGCTAAATTTAGTGCCTTGGACAACTGAGCCCTAAGGATCTTTTAGTTTTAAAGGTTTGTAGTAGCCAGTAAGAACACGTCACACATTTTTATGGTTTTATAACATTAGAATCCTTCTATTTTACAATTTCTTCGTGAATTTGGGGTATTGTGATTCATTGTGTTTTTGAGCATGATAGTTCCCTTTAGGGTTTATTATAG